GACAGGAAGGGATACTGTGTTACCAGCTGCAATGGAGTGTTTACAGAGATTCCACGAGGTTGCTTGGCAACACCCCCTCACCAAAGTTCCAGGCTCAATCACATCCAATCCTCGTGGGACTCTACTGTGGAGGGCACCTGCAGCCCAGCACTTCATAATCACAGAATCATGGAATGATTTGGGTTGGAACAGACCTTTAAACATCATCTGATTCCAACCCCCCTGCCATGGGCAGGGACACCTTTTACTAGCCCAGGTTGCTCAAACGCCTATTCAACCTGGCCTTAAACCCTTGTAGTGGAGGGGTATCCACAACTTCTCCAGGCAACCTGTTCCAGTGCCTCACCACCCTTACAATAAAGACCTGTTGTATACGTGGCAGCACATGGGGAAGTCTCAGCCTAACCACTGTGAATACACTTAGGTCTTGCTGCCAGAAACAACAATACCTTTTTCTGTTGTCAAAAGAAGTAGAAAGTCCCTAGCCAATATTACGTACATAAGCTTGCTAATAAGGTTCATTTTAGTAGCTTTGCAAGATGATGAAAAATCCTACTTTCTTAAAAGTTTGCCTAATAAAACGGATTGATTTGTAGTGGTGTAACTACTTTGTCTAAGTCTGCAACTTTGGTGGACCTCCAAATCCTATTTTCTTCATCCTTTAATCAACCTATATTACAGAAACTATAATGTGAAGCTGGCCTGATAGGATTATTTTCCAAAACACAAATGAACTGGCATTAATTCTGCCACTCGCTTTTAATTCTTTTTTAATTCAGTTTCGTATTATCTATTCCATTATTTTTCCAAGGATTTATGTGACACTGACAGGTCTATAATTTCTTGGGTCATTTCTTTTATTCTATTTAAATATTGGCATGTTACCTTTCTTTTGCACTCCTGAAATTTCCCTCATGTAGCAAGAGCTACTGAAAATCAACATTAACAGTCAAACTCTTCAACAGTGCCTTTAAACCTGTAGGATACAGGTTATCCAACTTCCTAATTTAAAAATGTTTCATATCCTGTTCCAAAGCAGAATAAAAACAGCTTCAAAGTTCCTGAAGCACATATACAGCTCTTACTCCTCCAAATCAAGCCAGCAAGAACTGGGGATGCCCAAGATCCCCCAGCACTTGGAATAAGACACAGAGGGCAATGACAAGATTAATTTCTAACTGTGATTCAGAAGAGGTCACAAGCAACTACTCTTTGACCTGTAAGTTGTTAAAACACAATTCTTTCCATTTTAGCAGATGTGGAAACTAAGATGTGGAGAACCACATTGCTGGGGTTTTTTTGTTTCTTCTGTACAATTGCTCGGTTTTGCCTCAGAGTGAATTTTTTTTATTTTGGTAAAGCAGTTCAGCACATATGGACTTAGCATGATGTATAACTACACGTAATTTTCAAAATAAGACTGATTATCATTTGATATTTACGTTGTCTTTTTAAGGAGATAACAAAAAAACCCCACGTGATGCAGACATAATAACAAATATTGTGTTAGAAACCTATAAAAACAGCTAGGGAGGTTACATGTCGAAACGGGCCGGTATAGTATTGAAAAAAATTATCCACATTCTATCTCTATTTAGCAAATATATACATATTCTATCTTTATTTGTTTTAAGGTTGAACTTCTGAAGCATGCAATAGTCTAACACTAAAACAGTCACACTTCCATGTAGCATTTTCTTAGACATATTCAAGTAGGAAAGCAAGGGAGATCAACTAGTTTCACTGAAAGAAGCCATAATATTAAAATATTGAATTGCTCTTGGCCAGAGTAGCTAATACAAGTTATAAATTTGAATTTTGTTCCTTTATGCTTACAGCTCGGAAATATAGAATGATCCAGCAACAATAAGAAATCTTTATATATTTAATAGTGTATTTGCTTCTTTGTGATTTAGCATTCTAAAACACTCAGGCAAGAGAAAGGCTGCATTAAGAGAACATCAGTGACTCATATTGAGGAGATCAGCAATACCATATCTATGATTGTTTTTATAATGCTAATTCAGCCCAGCTGTGTAAGTCCCTTTCCAAACAGTGGGTCATTTAGTAAGAGCACTCAGATCTGGGAATAAGTCAACAATTTGTGTTGAAGAAGATGCTAAATGTGAGCTAGCCAATCCCTCATTCACTGTAGAAGAGGAATTTGATTTAGTGAATGAGGTAGCATTTGCAGAATGGTTGCTGGATTTAGGAATTTGAGTACTGCCTGGAAGAATTAAAACTTTTTCTCTATAAATTCCAGGGCCATACTGGAATAATTTAAACCATAATTTTTAAAAATTGTCATTAATTCTGTTTTCCTTATTTTCTACATCAAATTTTAAATCCTCCCAGCTTGATTTGTGGAATTTTAAAATCTCATAGCTTTAATTTAACATTTAGTAGACTGTAGGTCTTAAAGGAATTGCAGCTGCCACCCAGCTAGTCAGAAGTTGAGCTATAGGATACCTGCTGTTCCACTAAACCAAAGTGACTGTGATAATTTGTCCTTCTTTCCTTTTTTATTATCCTTGGAACTTAATTCCAGGGGACTATAGGAAATCTGAACTTAATAATTACTGTGAAAAATCAGGTCTAAGGTACCCCATCTTAGGCAACCAAAGTTAGTGAGCAATTCTGGCCATACTTCCTTTATTCCATCCAAAAGATGGAAAGAATGGAAACTGAAATCTGTATATGGTGTGTGAACAGCCATATAAGATGTATGTTCACTGATTCCCTGGCTCTTTGCCCTGCTTCCTAAGATAAAGAAACATCCATAGTTGAACCTGGATCTCCATCAATGGTTCTCTATTCAGGTGTTTGACATGAATTGAAGGATTTCGGGGAACAACACAAAATGCACTTGTTGTGCAACCTACACATCAGCTTAACTCACTTTCTGCAAGCAAAGATGATACTACTGTCTCAGCTCATGAGGGAAAAGACAAATTAGTAGTTGTTTGTGAGGTGATCAGGTGCTGCCATGAGTAACACCATAAAAAAGTCTGTAAGAAGTTAACAATGTTTGTCAAGAGCAGCATCTGAGCAGATAGCGATAAACAAGGTGCAAGGTCACATATTTAAATGGGAGGAAATTAATAGTGAATTACCTGGGCACCAATCCATTCTATCCAATAAGTGAGGTAAGGGTATATAAAAGAATAGTTTATGATCTGATAATGCAGGGCCATCAAAAGGTGCCTTCACAGAGGGGCTTAAGCTTGCATGGACATTTTTAATTCTGACCTGTTCTAAACATTCTCATTTTCGCTGATCCTTTGGCAAGAACCATGTATGTGCCTGTTTATGTGCCATCTCCTAGATTTTTGTTAAAAGAAAAACTATCTACTTCACATTACAGATAGATGCAATTTATTTCATATTACATTTCAATGGGACTTTTGAGTTCCCTAATTTCTTGAAACTGCTAAAGGTCTACATTCAAAGTTTGTATCATTAACAGATACGTGCTCCAATTACCCAAACATATCCTGATATATATGATCACTAGGTACCCAACTCATTATGGAATTAAAGTGTAGATACACTGACAAGAATTACATAGAAATAACACATCCAATTGAGCAACTTCCTCCTTATGGTTGCTTTTCCTAACCATCTAGTCTACAACACAATAGTATTATCACATATACTTTTTTCCCTTATGACTTCCAGGTTTTATTTGCATATTAAAATATGGGTTTAAATAAATTACTTGATCAAGCTCAGTTGAAAATCTGTGGCACTGCCACGCCTGCATTTACAAATCACTGATGGGTGCTTTGGTCACAGTAAAATCCTTCCTTCCTTTTACAGTTCAGTTCTTAAAATATTGCTCCTATAAAATGTCAGTGAATCTCATTATTTTTAAAATTTAAATAGCAAGAGAAATGTTTTTCCAATAGCACTATTGAGTGAAATTAAACATTGATTCCTGCCTTGCTTTCAGCAGCAGGATCCAGTCTCCAGCTCAGCTGTATTCACTGCTCTCTCACTTGTAAGGACTTTTCTTCCTACAGCATTTTAAAAGGTATAAATTTCATTCTGTGTACACCATCACCCATAAGAAAAGCCACTTTTTCATGTACTTGTTTGCATCTGAGGACTCGTTCCAATGCAAAGTCAAATCCTCTTAAACCTTCAGTTGGTTCCTAGCTTTATTGATGGGTGCCCTGTACTTAGGGTAGCTACAAATAAAGATTTTATCGATCATTCTGACCTCTAAAATTTTGATATATCAGTGAATCGAATATTCTAGTATGAATTTTTTCATTCTACTGTGTTATAAAACTGTTTCACCAATACAACATCCAGCAGACCAGAGTATCATGGTGTTAGAGAGATGTCAGTCTGGGGCCATCTGCTGGTTGTGTCGCAGAGCTTTCATCGACAGATTTGAAAAAACACTTTACATATGTAATTCTTTCGTAATTATAAAAGACCAACATATATTAATAAATTAATCACTTAAGTACGTGATGTTTCCTGTGTACTTGTTATTTGTTTTTAATTGTAAATATTCAGTGAACTTAATATGGACCAATTATCAAAAGAAAAAATAATTAATTTGTCTTGCTTTCATAAACATAATAAAAATGGAGGCAGGGAGGCCTAAAAAAGCTCTTACTTCACAATAACACCAAAAAGAAAGCAAGGAATAAAGTAATGTTAATGCTAGTATGTAAACAATTTAGTAAAGTAATCCACATATCTTTAGTTTTATTGCTGTGATAAAGAATATAAATAATTCTTACTGCCTTACTTGATGCTTTGTAAGATTTCACCTTGAATTTTTATGTTCTGGTCTAAAAGAGCTAAGATGCACCATGTGCTGTTTTCTTGGGATAAAAAAGGTCTCAGTCAATTTTATGATGTTCTTCAAAGGTTTTTATTGAAAATAAATTCAGGGAAAAAAAGCAGATGAACAGAAGTGTAAAGGCTTTAAAACCAGGAGTTCTAACAAATGAGCTACTTCAAACTAAGAATAATCCAGACAATTTAGTTCAGATTCTAAAAGTATATTTATATGATGCTGTTAAGTACGTATTTACTCATTTATTGTATTATAATATTGATAATTATGTATGCTGTAATTGAGTCATTTTTATTATTGCAAGACTATGTGCAACTTTTAAGTGTGTTTTCAGGAGCAAGAGAGAGCATTTTACAGATTTTACAAGTTTAAGAGAGATCCTTTGCACCTATTATGTATATACACAGACACACACGAATATCTACGTATTAACTTACTATGCTAATGCCCATACATATATATATGTGCATGTATATATATATGTGTGCATGTATATATATAAATGCATGTATGCATATAGGAATGCGACGTATGTATATTCATCTATGTATGTATATATCTATACATGCATGAACACCTGTTTTTCACACCTAACATCTAACTTGTACTGTTTACACTCTCAGTTAAACAAAATCCTGTGTTGGCTCTTAGTTGTGCCAGGATTCAACATCTGCCATTATTCACATTTGCCCTCAGCAGATCTATCAGCAGGAGAGACTTCTAACAGCAGCTGTAAGTGACAGGTAATTTTATCAAGAAATGCAAAATGCAATTTAAAATGTATAAAAGGCAGATAAACAATAAGACTTCCCAGCATAAACAAGAAAGCGTAAATATATTGCAGACTGGGAGACCAGACTATGGGAGCTGAAACTAGGAAGAAAGACACTGCCACCATCACAAATGGAACTGGCAGAAACACCTGCAAGAAAAGGAAAAAAATGGTTTAGGAAATAAACAGACCAACTGTGATTTTACACCTCATTCATAAGAGTAACAACTCATTCTTTGCCACAGTAGAGTACCATTTCTCACACTGCTATAAACTCACTCAGGACAAGAATCATCTGACCTCAAATTGCCTACAAGATAGGTATCTTTCTAAAAAATTTGTTAAAGCTCCTTCTATCACAAGGGGTAGCGATAGGCAGTACCTGAAATGCATTTATTGACATATGATATTACAGGTTCCTAAAAGACACTCAAGGTTAATTCTGGTGCCTAGAAGAAGCCTTCACAATGAGTATACACTTCTAACCCACCTTTCCAACTACTAGATTAAGAGGAAATTCAACCTATCCATAATGTCTATGGTTGTGTCAGGAAAGATGAGAGTAGATCAAGGTTTAATTAACTGTGAACGGTCAGCCAGGGTCCTACACTGTTCGTGGTACTGCTCCACATTGGTACATATCTGGTGCACATCTCCCCCATTCTGCATATAACCATCTCCTGTTTTCAAGTGCAAGTTCTCCAGGGCACAGACCATCTGTTTCACTTCCTTCTACCCTGAAGCAAGGTTTTTGAATAAGGCTCTAAGCACCGAGATTATTATTTGTATTTTCGTAACTATCCACTTTTGACTTGCACTTGTTCTGAAACTTTTACACACTACTCAAAACAAATCTGTAAAAAATATTTTGCAATTTAGGTCCATTTACTTTGTATGGTCGATGTAGATGAGGTTCCCGGTATCGAAGTACAATCAGGCTTGCACAAGTCAGTCCAATCATAAGCCAGGCAGAAAATCCAAAGTAATTTGTTAACATAATAAGGTCAGAGGGGATGATAAAAATGGATGCAATGGTGGTTGAAAAAATCATGGCTGGTGCTGGAGTACAGGAGTGGACATTAAGCATGGATATTAAAACAGGTAAATGTCCTGACTGACTTCCAGCATAGCTTAATCGACCTAGTGTGAACATGCTGCTGTTGAGGGCACCAAATATTGAGACAGCAACACAGAGAGGAATGATCCAGGCAACAGAGGGGATAACTCGATCAGCCCAAGTGACTGCCACAGCAACTGCAAGAAAGTAAAGCATTAGTGTAGTACAGGTACCATGTTCTGAATCGCTGACAGACTCAACAGAAACAAAATTTAAAATGCAAGAAACACCTGTATTTACCAGCAATGCCTGTATTTTTTTATTACAGTAGTCAAACAGTAATCTAATCCTAAGGGTATTTCATTCATGAGCTAAAGATTTCCTGGGAGAATGACAGCTAGGAGTGCTACCTGCCAGAGCAAGCCAGGTAAACCTGCTGGGGCAAATACCACAGTAATGGACTGCCCAGCAGGAGAGAGCTGCCTTTCATAGCTGTGCATCACAAACACACACACATGGTCAAGGAAAGTAAATGAACACCTTAGGCCCCAGCATGCCCATGGTGGTGACACAGTCTGCTGTTACAGCAAAACTACCAACAGGAGCACAGGTACATTCAGAGATGGGTCGGCGAATGTGCTGTTAATGAGATTTTGCTTTGGGCAGAACTGAGAAATGTGAAAGATTATTTCTGAACAAGAGATATTGAATACTGCTTGGAAATTTACTGCAGCCCATATTGTAGCGAGGACTAATATGTAGTGTGTCTACAACCAAATGCCATGAGGAACACAGATCTTGCAGTGACCTGCGCAGCATAGGAAATTATTAGAGATGGGGAAAACCCCCACCACACCCTGCCTCCCCCAAAAAAATGTAATGAAAGAACAAAAGCCACAGCAACACATAGCAATGTTTGAAAAAGAGCTATCGTTTGAAGGCTATCTCCTGAACTGGGATAGATAAACACAACTTCCTGGTATGTATGGAGCTGGTTATGCCAGCTGGGCAGCTGCTATTCACGGATGGTTTGATATTTGCTGCTTCTTTCATTGTAGGATGGATCTGCAAACGTGTCCATCTTTCCCAGCAGATAACCTGACAATGGTGATAATACAAGGTTGCTGAATGACAGCTACACTGCTTCCATTTATGTTACTGAGCTGTTTTCGCAAGAAAAAAAATAATTGATCCACCCAAATGAGGTATGGTTTTTGTCACGCCTGTAGGCAAGGTCTGACAGCTTAATCTCATTACAGAGGGATTTAAAAGGTGCTGTTTGGACAATCAAGATGAAATACAGCTCCCCTTGGACCTTTTCACAGAAGGCTTATTGGTACAGGATCTGAGAAATGCTTTACATACACTAGACTTTTGTATAGGCTCTTCTGAGGAATCACAATATTTATCATGACTAACCCACAAACACACACCCAAAATGGCTACATTTTTGTGTCCACAGTCTTTTCCATATTACTGAACATGTTAGACTTGTCCACCTCCTAAACAGTAATGGCTCTAACCTGAGACACTATGAGATAGGGAAAAAAGGAGGAGAGAGGATTAAAACTACAGGAAAAACTAAGGTTGTTGCTATACTCAGGACCTAACTTTCAGCTGATTTTTCAGGTTTTAATACACTTCTGATTTAATTTTTGGCCAGTGCAGATATAAACCAAGATTTTCAACATTTAATAACATCTGTCTGCATTCAGTCGAACTTGTGTCATACAGTAAAATTAAAGAATTCTCTGTTAAAGAGAATGAACCCAAACTTCTGGACTGTGAAGTTAGGTGAGAAGAAGTAACCCAGTACATTGACATCAGATGGGTATGCTAATGAACCACGTCTTTTTAATTAAAAAAATATTAAATCCATACCTGAGGAGACAATTTCCTTAGGTGTGAGGACAGTCAGATATGAGATGTTCACCAGTAAATAAAAAACAATTACTGCAGGAACCGCAGTCATCACAGTTAATGGGATATTTCTGCTGGGGTTTTTCATCTCTTCTGAAAAATACAGTTTAAAAAGACAAATAAAGCAAGCAGTGTAGCTTCAGCAAGTGTATTTCAGTGGTGAATCTGTGCAGAGCTTGACAAGACGGACACCAAGGTCCTACCCCAATCCCTGATCATGGCTGCTAAATTACGCTGCTTGTGAAGTCCTATGGTTGTTCTCAAATAGGCTACTATCAAAGATTCTTAAACAATTTATTTTTATTTAGCTATTTATTAACTATTTTGGAAGGAGTGCTGGATGAACAGATGATAAAAAAGATTACAGAAGGATTGATAATTTCTCTTTGATTTAATTAATCACATATTTCACTTACATTAGAAAATTGATTTGGTAAGAAATTTTCAAGTAGCTTTACTTGTAAATCACTACCTTAAACATGAGACTCTAAAGCCAGATTATTTATTCTGACATCACCTCATGAGTCCTGATCTTAAACTTTGTTATTGCCTATTCCTACTCAAAACCTTTTTCTTTGCCCTTATATCAGGAAATACAGAAAAAGTAGAAAAAAAGACTAGATGGTATAGACAGAAGAGCAATAATGCAGTGGCTTTAAAAGGGGGCCATTCCCAGCTGGATACCGATGATTATTACCTTTTCCAGGGCAAAGTTGCTGGAGGAAAACTGTTTAGTGCTAAACCTGATAGCTTAGAACTATATTTATCAAATAAGAAAAAAATTCCAGATTTTGCCAGGGAATAATTCAGGCATTGGCACACATTCCTGAGCACATGATATTCCCAACAAAAGATGGAGCTGGTTTCCAGAAGCCTAATAATTCATCCTCATCTCAATCAAAAAGGGTCTTTTTCACCTCTTTCACTCCTCCCCTCACTCCCTCTCCTCACTTCCCTCAGCACTTACAGAAGATCTCCTGAGTATTACCAGCCAATAACTCACAAGAAGGAAGAAGTGAAAAGCCAAACAAATCTCTTTCCTCTTTCATATATGATTCCTATCTTGTGCCCAGAACATCAGCCTTGAGCCTGTCCCAGTGCTGTCTGTAGCGCACAGAGCCAGGATCGAAGGAGCACAACAGCAGAATTCAAATACTGACTATCAGAGAATTTTGGATTTATTTCAGATGTAAGAAATACACTTGGTAATTTTGAGCCCAGAAATGGACAATCACCAAAATTACCAATTTAAATTTATCTTTTCATTTGTTTCTTTGGTCATTGCAGTCCTGCCATCCAGCTGGCACCTGATGCTCTAGCTGAAGCTCACAGAAATGAAGTTATTATTGAAGAATAGGAAACTCAGTTCAATTCAGAACTATTGCATAGGTTGCATCTGTCTAAACAGCTGTGCTGCCCAGTGTATGGTATTTATTAGTACTGCTAACTGACCAAAATATAAATTAATATTTTACCAATAGTCTTGTATTTTCTGAGGGTCACAAAGCCAAGTGCTTGTCTTTAAGGAATCCTTAAGATTTCAAAACTATACTTTCCTGATTTATGTCACCTTTTTTTTTAATTGAAACACATTTTTAATGCTGGAATAACCGGATTGTAATGATAACAGTCAGTTTTTTAAACATTAACCAAATTTCACATTGTTCTCACCATTGAACTTTGAGTTATGCATTTAACACATGCAGTTTAATTAATATTTTACATGATAGAGGTTAATGGATACATACGGTTAAAGATATAAGAGCAATATCAACCTGCTTCCCACATAATTCCATAAATCTGATCATATCATAAAACTCTATTAATTTAATTTGTGACATGAATAACTAACATTAGGAACATCATCTCTGTACGTTTCATGAAAAACTGCTCTATTTCTTATTGCCACATCATCAGATATAGAATAGGGTGATTAAATAGATATTCAAAAATGTTTTAAGTGTTTGAAATTGAGTACAAGTTCTACGAAAGTATTTATATCACTTTCCTTAGATCTCTCTTCACCTTCTGTGCAAAACTCTATTTTCCCAAGAAAATATATCCCATAAAATTGCTAAATTTTAACAAAATTCAAAATTAATTTGTCGATGTACAAAACAACTGCATAACCTCAGAGAAGGTACAGATATTTAAATAGAAATTATCTATGTGCACATAGTTTGGCATGGATAACCTAATCCTTTCCACTGGCACGGACATGGAGAAAGACAAAATGCAAATTTTTTAGGTGTGAAAAATTCTGTTTATGCATAAGATTTTAAATTAACTATTTTGATTTCTCTTGTACCCCATTGGAAATGTCAGTTTGATTTTCGAGACTGGACAAAAAGCAGGAAACTTCCCTGGAGAGGAACACTGCCTCTTCTACCAGCCCCAACAAACACAGGACTCGCATATAACATGAGAGACCCTATGGTCTTGAAGGAGAGACAAGTTCTACCAACACAAGTTGAGGAACACAAGAATGACAACTGCAGAACAAAATCTAAAGAAGAGGAGTGAGATACCTGCCATATAATTGACGGACCACCAGCCTCCATATGCGTACAGTCCTTGGAAGAAAGCTTCAGCAACCTGCGCAGCGTTGGGGATCTCTGAGCTGAACAAGTCCTCAAATCTGGCCAGACTCTCCTTTTGCCTTGCAATGAGGAGAACAATGCCGCCGACAGCAATTACAGACAAGGCCATCATCTTCAGCAGAGTGAAAACTGTCTGCACCCACGCAGCCATTTTGACGCTGCAGCCATTCAAAATCCCCAGGGACCAGAGAACGGCCAAGGCCAAGCATTTTTTCAGCACTTCTGGTGGAGGGCAAATGCCATAGAAGGGCTGGGTGGCGTATTCAGCAAACAGCAAGGCTCGAGCAGCATTTGATGCTGGTTTCGTAAATGTTGACGTCCAGATAAACACAAAGGCGGGGAGGGATCCAAGGCCTCTTTTAATATGGCTATATTCTCCTCCAGAGAAGGGCAGAGAGGTTCCAAGTTCTGCATAGCAGAGGGAACCCATCAGAGAAACCAGCCCAGATGCAGTCCAGATTATTAGTGCGATGCCAACATTGAGTAAGGAATGCTTTAACACCCCTGTGGGAGACACAAAGATACCTGCCCCGACAATTGTTCCTATAATAAAACTTACCCCATCAAAATAACCTATATTTCTTTTGAGTTGAATCTTCGCTTTTTCTTTTCTTTGCATATCTTCAGAATCATCGCTTTCTCCTTTTCCCATTTTTTTTCTGTTTTTTCACAGCAGAATTCACTTTGTTGTTAGCAGTCTGTCATGGCCCTACCTGCTAGTGAAATGTTATGAGAAGCTTGGCTTAATCATTCAGAAAAGAGAGCATACTTTGCGTTTTGATGTCTTCTGTGTGAAGATGATTAACCAAATACTTCAAGAATCACTGGCAAATCATGTACATGTTGGTTTAATATGTACTTCAGAAATTATTGAGGTCTGCAAGTATTTTTAAAGAACACAGCATAACAAATAATGCACAGCAAATGCTCATTTCTTAGCTGATTTTCATCAACAGATTTCCATTTCTTTTTTGTATGTCTTCAGAGACAACAGCGAGACGTGGGTAAATGTGACTTCTACATCAGACCTAGGGAAAGAGATAGGATATGACAGCATGAAGAAATAAGTCATCCCTCCTTATGTCATTGACAATGACATGGACATTAGTTGAACAGCCTGGCACTATTTTTCCACTGTCCATACATAAAATTGACAGTGATAACCAGTGATCACCAGTATGTTTTGCCAAAACTTCATCAGTCACTGAATATACAGGAGCTTGTTTATACTTCACTCATTAAACAGTGCACTAGAAAGAAAATTACCAGTTTATTCCTAGCTTTTTCTTGAGTGCTCACCATTAATATAGCACCCAAACATGTCCTAAGAAGATATTAATCTTCGGACACTACTGTGAGGGGAAGAGTCAGTGTTATCATTTTCACTGTCTGCATAGGGCTATTGAACAGAAAGATGAAGGAGTCATCATTCCCACCAGTTTGGCCTGTGACTTTTAAGGTGCAGCCACTGATTTTTTTTTTTTTTACATATTTAACAATCTGTGGTGTATTTTGTGTTCAAAATACAGAAAAGGAGCTTCTCTTTAATCAGATGTGGATATGCCATAAAACCATGACTTTTGTACAAGGGAAAATGTATTTATTCTTTTTAAAATATGTAGAGTAAAATAGGCAGAAAGGGAGACTAACTAAAAGAAGTTCAGCATGGACCTTAAGGGTTTTCTAAGTTCCTAAACTAGTAGCAGAAAAGTTCTTACTTTTTGTCACTCAACTTGCGGAACCGGTTTTGTCCCAGAGGTCAAAGCTCAGTAATGCAATGAACTGAACTCATGCTTTCACAGAGCCCAACTGTGAAAGACACAGTGGTTCAGATCAGTACTGAAACATAGGATTTTCACTCAAGTACAAAATAAATTAATCTGAAAAGTTAGGTTTATATAATATGCCATCATGTAAAAGACCTTTAGCTAAAACAGGCATGTGCATAGACTGATGATCCTTGTGGGTCCCTTCCAAATCAAGATATTTTGTGCTTCTGTGATTCTGTTGAACTCTTAATACTTTGTGAGCTCTAAAAAACTCCAAAGCTCCCAAACATCCCCCAAGAAGAATTCAAAGCAGTCCGGTCTATAAACCCTGCCCCGTCGCGGGGCGATCCCAGGCGGCAGGAAGCGGCGGCAGGAAGCGGCGGCAGGAAGCGGCGGCAGGAAGCGGCGGCAGGAAGCGGCGGCAGGAAGCGGCGGCAGGAAGCGGCGGCAGGAAGCGGCGGCAGGAAGCGGCGGCGGTCCATGCCCACGCTGCCCCGCGCCGGGCGGGCCGCGGGCTCGGCTGCCGCGCTGCGCGGGGTCCGGGGGCGCCGCCTCCCGCTGCGGCCGCGGCCGCGCCTGCCCGCGGCGGGAGTGGGAGAGCGGCGGTGCCCTGACGCGCTCGTGTCCCGGCCGTAAGGCGGGAGCGTCGCCGTGGGAGGCGAGGGAGGTCTGAAGCGAGGAGCGGTCTGCGCGGGGCCCGGCGGGATGGCAGGGGAGCCCGGCGGGATGGCAGGGGAGCCCGGCGGGATGGCAGGGGAGCCCGGCGGGATGGCAGGGGAGCCCGGCGGGATGGCAGGAGTTCCCGGCGAGCTCAGCCTCATGGATAGGGGCCTTAAGAGGTGAGTGAGGAACGGGCCGGAGGGTGAGGGGCGGCCCGGGAGCGGAGCTGCCCGGCTGACTGAGGCCCCTCTCCTCCGCAGCCTGCTGGATGTGTCTCTGAGCTCGGACCTGCACACGCTCAACGCCCACTGCAACCGCATCGCCAGGATCGAAGGGCTCGGCCACCTCTGGAACCTGCAGCATTTGGATCTGTCCTCGAACCAGATCCGCCGGATCGAGGGGCTCAGCTCCCTGGCGAACCTGCGCACCCTGAGCTTATCCTGTAACCTGATAACCAAAGTGGAGGGTCGGCAATGTTTACTTCTGTCCATTTAGAAACTCACGAAAGTTTTCTAAGATTTGTCTTGAAGGTTGCTTCTGGAATGTTTGCATGTAATGAAGGTTATGCAAAGTTAGCATGGGCTACTAACGATATTATAATGTGAATTTTAAAATGTCTATATAAAATGTGGTAAGCTGTATCATAACAAAATGCCCTAATTAGAAGGAAAACCTGATTTTTATTATTATAGTTTAATATAGTCGTAATATAATCATAGTAATAATAATTATGTGATGTCATAATTCGTAGTTATGATCTTTTAAGGCTCACTTTGCAAGCTTGGCGTTTGAAAACAGAGCATTCTTCTGCACATCTTATGGTTTCTCTGTTTTTCTCATTTTGCTTAGGACTGGAAAAACTCTTTAATTTAACTGTGCTGAACTTGTCATATAATCGCATACATGATCTCTCTGGTAAGTGCCTTTGCCAAGTGCAGTGCAGTACAAACCATTTATCTCACTTTAATTTTGAAAAACTTGACCAAGCGTATTTTGAGAAGTTTCTAGTACTTAAAGTGCTAATTCACCGAATAATTATATTAAGAGTGGCAGTTGCTGCTCCTCTCAGCTTTCAAGTTTCTAACACCACAGATTGTTCTAAACTGGAATTTATTCTCCTGTGTTGGGCAAGGCCAAGCTTGTTCAGAAAGTAGCACAGTAAACATTTCAGACTTATTTCCAAAAATGCAACTTATGGAAGTTCTCATCTGTGTCTGTTTGTTAAAATGGTCAGTTGTTGCTTGTGAGATTTTATGCTACAGAATCAAGAGAATTTGTAATATAAAATTAAAAAGAACATTGGTAACAATTTTCTTAATGAACTGAGTTATAAAATGAAACTTCAAGGAAAATGTTTATTTTTACACACTTTTTAACAGCCAGAAACTAATGTGTTTCTTTACAGTTAGCTCTCATAACTAGCTTAAGTGTTGTACTGTGTGGTAGAGTACCACAGCTAATTAACATGTATAGGCAAGGATATGGAAAAAGTGTTCTTCTCTCATTTCCAGTTATATTATTTACTGAATATTTTTCAACAAGCTGCCATTTGTTCTAAACCCTGTAGTCTAGGACTGCAGCACAAAACATTTTTTTTGTTTGTTTGTTTTTTCTCAAATTTCCAGGATTTCGATCCCTTCATGGAACCAGATATAAGATTAGCCACATTGAGCTTCACAGCAACTGTGTAAGCAACATTATTCACTTACTTCAGTGCACAAAGGGGCTGCACTGTTTGACGAACCTCACACTGGAAAAAAACGGAAAAACCAATCCAGTTTGTCACAAAGCAGGTATGGATCTCATGTTAGGTGGATACTCTGTGCTCATTAGGCCAGTCATGTCCTTTAAGCTGTGAGCCATGTTCTGAAGCTTGCAAATTCATTCATAAGCTGGCCAGCCTGCGAAATCTAAATTCTGTCAAAAGTAATTCATTTTCCATGAAAAAAAAATCTCCCCCCCCCCACCGTATTCTTACCATTGTAATATGTTGTATGGTTACATGAGGCTCAGCATTTTCACTTGTGAATCCAGAGGAGTGCCCCAAAGATTAGAGGGATGGAGCACCTCTCCTGTGAGGAAAGGCTGAGAGAATTGGGATTGTTCAACCTGAAAAAGAGAAGGATTTGAGGTGACCTAATTGTGGCCTTCAAGTACCTGAAGGGAGACAAGAAGAAAGATGGAGAGAGACTCTTTTCCATGTACTGACAGGACAAGGGGGAATGGCTTCAAAGTGAAAGAGAGTAGGTTTAGATTAGATATTAAGAAGAAATTATTTACTGTGAAAGTGATGAGACATTGGAACACGTTGCTCAGAGAAGTTGTGGATGCCTCATCCCTGGAAGTGTTCAAGGCCAGGTTGGATGGGCTTGGAGCAACCTGGTTTAGTAGAAGGTGTCCCTGCCGATGGCAGGGGGTTGGATAACTAGGTGATCTTTAAGTCCCTTCCAACCCAAACCATTCTATGATTCTGTGATATTATTTGAGGTTAAGGTTAGTAGTGGCAGACTCTAGAATACTCTGCAGTAATTAGCATTTGTATCAAAATAGTAGGCAGGGGTTTCACATAGTAGGCAGCATGGAGACAAGTTGGAGATTGCATGTGGATATATCGCTTTCAGTTGGGTTGCTTAGAGCTTCTGCTTTGGGGGTAGGTTTTTCCTGCCATTTAAATGTTACACTCTGTTTTCAAACAAGTTAAATTGTAGCATCCTGTTTTGGTGTCGGGGGTTTTTTGTTTTCTTTCTTTGTGTATATTAGAGGGGAAAATCTATAGAAGGGAAAATATGTAGAAGCAGAGGATGGATACTTCTGGGAGAGCTCAAATATAATTTCATTACAAAGAGTAGAACAGTATGAATAATGCAATAATACAAAATATTAGCTATATAATGAGCATATAACTGATACAGGTGTAATATATGTACAGTTAGAAAGAAACCTCAAAGGTAATTGAGGAAAGCCAAATTAGGTTTTAAGTAATATTTTCAAAAGCAAATGTTTTACAAATGCATTCAGGCACTACGGAAACAGTAACAGTTATCTGGATAACTCAGAAAATTCCAGTAGTTTTCTTCAGCAAGTATTTATGTGACACTAACTTTAAAAACTGCACTGTTCAGAAGCCCAAATTCCATTAATTTAAAGAAAGTTAACTTCAATGCTTTACAGTTTCATAATGCCTTATTTCATTCACTGACAAAGAAGTTATCTAAGCTGTTTCAGAACTGGCCTTTCCATTACATTTGTCTATCCTTCCATTTGATACAACTGTTTTTGTGCAGTAGTCTGATACTAAAAGGTTGTCTGTGCAACTGCAGTGTGCTGATGATGGTTGGGAAATCCCAGTGTAGGCCAGGACCAGGCAGACAGCTTCCAAGTTCATTTAGTTTTGTAATGTTATCTGTTGAATGCCATGGATGGGGAAAGATGAGACAACTGTAGATAACTCGCTACTTTTTTTCTTGTATTAAAAATGCAGTGAATCATTTAAGATGACAGGGTAGCTGAAATACACTAGACATCTTGGGAGATTGATTTCAATTTACATGTGGTCTTTTCCTCAAGGTTATAGAGAAACTGTTCTTCAGTCGTTGCCCCAGCTAACAGCTCTAGATGGAAGAGGTATTTCTGGTGAACCAGTGGACCTGGAAGAAAAAAACTGTTCAGATTTGCAGTTCTTAGAAGACGTTTTGGGCTCTTTGGTTTCATCTGGGTGCCCCTCACCCAGAGATCAGGTGCCATAGTTTGTGTGTACTGATTTTAATAATGATATGCTTTATTTTTATATTGCATGCCGCTCATTAATGCTGCAAGGGTTGTCTTTCCTTCTGATAGAACAGTGTTGCCTTACCGCTGGCGACACCTCATATCGACCAGGCATTGGCTCATTTTCGTCAGCGTACAAGAATACCAGTACAAGGTGCCACCAGCTCCTCCACAGAGCTTATCTCATCTTCAGAACCAGAGAAGACTGAACTTGATAAAATACACAGTGAGATGAGGATTAAAAGAATAGAAGATCTGATTTCACAGATACTGCAAAAGGTGATTTTTTTTTTCTGTGATCACACAGGAAGTTTTGTTTGTAAAATCAGGTGTACATTTCTGATAATGCAAAAGTTTCCTGGAACAGACTGGAGCATTTCTACTGGTGTTTATGAGCTTACGATGCTAATGTGTTCTTAATCATTTTGAGAAGCTGGGAATGAAATAAAAACAAATCTTTAAAACTGAAGATTGCACTTCGAATCCTGACAGCTTTCATACTGAATAAAAACCATAGTGCATGGGACTAGCAGAGCTATGTGATCATGTTATGTTAGAAAATTCTTGTCTGGTTTTTTTACCCTGAAGCCATCAATACAGTAACTGAACCAAAGTAAAACATGAAATGCACCAAAATACCTGGATTATACAGTTGGTGAAAATTAATTTTACCAATAAGTCAACTTGATCTGATATGTTTGTCAGGTAACATAGTTTGTTTTGTTAATATGTTTTGTTAGCATATGTAACATACAAGTTTGTGAGGTTTAACAGTTGGTGGTGTTTGCAAGGCTTTTTTGGTTTTAAGTGCTGTATTTGTTTTACATTTTGCACCAACCTCTTAGGCCTAAGGATTTTACCAAACTTCAGGAATTTCAAAAAGATACACCTATATATTCTCAAGCATGTTGGGTTTATTTTATCTTTAAAACAATGAAATATTTTAGGAAGGAGGGAAGGGATTGTAAAAGTAAAAAATTGGAAGCAATTATTTACTTTCCTATCAACATTATTTTGTGTGAAGTTTTTTAAGAATAGCACCTGAATAAATCTTAGAAATTAGCCAATTAGAAATGGTAAAATTTATAGATAAAATTTTGATCTCTTCCTAGGTATCTGATAGCTCAAGACAGGAAGCTCCTCCAAGTTGTCTCAAAGCTAAGAGAGACACAGATCCAACTTCTGAGAGTGAAAATGAGAGTGGGAAAGAGAACAATAGAAAGGTCATGAAAAGAAGCAAGATCCCTTCTCACAGGAGAACTTCCTTATCTCCTAAGTGTCATGCGAGTCATCTTAAGAACAAAGTAACCAACAGGTATCCTGATGTTTGCCATATAAAACCAAAATGAATTAAGCTGAATATTGTCACAATGAACATAGTACTTGAAACATTTTTCTGAAAGTGGTAGGTTGAGTCAATTAGCTCTGTTAATGATACCTTGAAAATGAGTAGCTTCTGAGGCTTCTTTCTGCCACTTCTCTATATGAGCAGTTTCTGCCTTTAAGTGAGAACAAAATTGAACTGAAGATTCCAAAACAAACACTTTCAGAGTTCTGACAGCTTATACTTCCATCTTTGTTTTAAATTGTGGTGACAGAAAAATTCTCCACAGACAGAACTGAGTCATTAAAAAATAAAAATAAAAGATTCATGCTGTCTGAACAATGATCAAGAATTTAACTGTCCATATTTTGTGACGAAGCTGAGGATGCCATAGTGATTTGTTTGATTTATCAGGAGTGATGAGTAGAAGATGATACAAATTGGAATATTTTAGCGTAGTTAGCCACTGCAGCTCTACAGCTACTGTGCTTCTCCAGAATTGTTTGATATCTGTGTGATCATAAGATGTCTTTCAGATCCATATAACTAGTTCATGCTATCTTTTTGCAGCTGACTATTTGAATTTAGCTGTTTCTGCTATGGTCTCCTTGCAAATTATTTTCTGTGTGGTTTTGAACTGTATTATTCAAATGTTGCAGAGAACTGTAAAATTTCATCCTGTAAAAGTGTCTGAATCCCTTGTTACTGTTTAAACTCTTAAATATACCTTGATGTCCTGCAAATATAGGGAAGAGAAGAAGAGTTCCTCAAAGTGTTCATACTCCAGTCAGAGAGACTCTCATCTTAATTCATCATCAGATAATCAAGACTTGAAAGTAGTGGGAAGAAAAGCTGAAATACTGACTGGTAGACAGAGCAATATAGAAAAACTAGAAGAAAGTCATTCAAATCCCACAGAGGAATCAACATACCAAGTAGGTTTTGCATCATTTCAAATTAAGTATGAGTATGTCTTCACCTGAATCCAAGCATGTCTCCTGGTCAAACTAAAAGTGGAGGTGACAAAAAAAATTGCATGTAGATAGTATCAAAAGTAGTGTTGTTCTTGTAGTGTCAACTGGGACAGGATTTATTTTGTTTCACTTTTATGGGAGTTTTTGGCCTGGTCGCTTGCCCTTTGCTCTGTCACCCATGAATTCCAGAAAGACAAAAAATCTTATTCTACACTTATAAATATTATTTGTCATTTTTGGCTATGCTTGAACGTCTACTAGTAATTTGATGCTTACCACATTCTTGCTAAGGTGCTGATTCAAGAACTGGATCAGGAGAAAGAAAGGAGGTGGAAAGCAGAGCAAGCAGAGAAGAAATTATTAGAGCATGTCAGAGAGCTACAGAAGCATTCAAAAGAAGAAAAGAATATTCAGAGTATGGCTGTATACACTACAGACAGGTAGGGAAACAGTGCTGTAATATAAGAGTTTTGTTTTGGGTTTTGTAATTAATGAAAATTCAATTTGTAGCCTTAAGAAATGAGAACAGCTTTAAACAATATACTTGGAAAATAACACATCAAGAAGTAGTGCTAGAATTTCTCTCAGTATTACCTAATGAAAGTCCTTTCTGCAGCTTTCTTCCTGTTCTAATCTTAGAACAATATCAGTGTGTTGCTTACCTCCATTTCCAGCCATTACTTTCCAACTGTATCATAACGGTACTTTCAGTTCAAGCTCTAGTAGCTGCCTCATATCATGCTTTCACCTTCTGTTTCCCAGTCTCTCTTTCCACCTATACCTACAGCATTCCTTGTGTTTTTCCTGCTCAGTGCACTGGAACAAAGGTGTTTCTGGCCGGCCAGAGTTGGCCTGTAGGCAATATGTTGTGCAGGGCAGGCCTAGCACATCTTTGGATAGTTGTCATCATTGGTTGTCATCATTCTTGTATAAGTTCTGAGCAGCAGCTTTTTTTCAAAAGATCTCTCTTCTAACAAAGCATTGTTTGTCATCAGATATTTTTGGAGTTGTCAAAGACTCATTTTCTTTTTTGTAAGGAAGAA